CTTCTTCATTGAAGACTTCAAAGTTGTGAGTTTGCATTTAACAAAGAACCACCAGGTAAACCAGATGCCCACTAAAACCGAGAAAAAAAGTTTAGAGATATACACTGTATAGGAAAGAAAGATCTTGTTGAGATTGTGCTCCATCAAGGAAATGATTAAAAATGGAATCCCAGGCCCCTGCAACCCTGTCCTATGGAATTCAGTCTTTAGCTAATATGAGGTCTGTTTCACACCGAGCCCAGACCCATGTCCCAGAAACGGGACAGGAAATAGCAGCCACTTCCTGAGAGCGGCCAGTTCCGGATAGGTTTGGTGCCTCCCCCAAAACTCACTGTTTCCATAGTCTTCAGTCATGAACAGGACTCAATTTTGTGATAATGCAACAATTAAAAAGCAAGAAGCGTCCACCCACATCTCAGCACCCGTCCAATTCTTTCTCTTCTGTCCTATCCCCTGGGCTTTCTGATTTAAGGCAACAATCATTTACTACAAGTGGCATCTGGTGAAAATACCTTAGCTGAGGTCACTTCAGATTAGATTTTAGTCTGAAAGTATTCAGTTTATGGAGTGATAGGCTGGGCCTGGAGAAACCCTGGAATCCAGGTGTTTCAGTCCGTGGTGTGGAAAGATGATATTTCTGGTTTTAACCCAGTTCTGTAAAAGAACCTATGCCATTTTCTGGGATCCACTGATGGACACCAGTGACCACCATGGATTTAGTGTCCACGGAGACAAAAATATTCAGGCTTGGAAAAATCTTTGGAGTTTTTTAGTCAGGCTAATCATCTTAATACATAGTGCTAGAAATGATGCTTTGGGTTAATAATTTCCGCGGTCTGTTCACAGGAACACTGGGTCACCACGGCTTTTCTTCCTGTGGAGGTTTCAGCTGGTTCAGAAATGGCAACTCTACACAGGGGCCCTTGGGAACAGGAAGGTATTCTTTCTCTAAAGCAAGGACACTTCTCTGTCTCTTTTCTGCCTCCATATGCAGCCTGAGCACCGGGGTAGAGATTGCTTTTGAAAGTTTGCCCCCACGTAACCTTATTTCCTGGGCACCTAAGAGAACAGCCCTTGTCTTCATTAAAACAGAGAGAAAGAGCTGTTGCGATCCCAGGCGGGAAGTTCTGTCTAGCCCCAGAAGCCCGGTGGCCTGGTCCACTCAAGCACTCTCTTCAGGCTCTGCAGATGGGGAGGCATTGGGTTGCTTTGCTTTTTCTATGGAATTAGGGAGTCTATTGAAATTCTAGTGCTCCCTTCCTTTTGTCTGTCACCAAGTCACATGGTTCTGTCTTCAGTGTCCTATTTTTCTTTTTTAATTTCTTTTTCTGGGGGACAAAATTAGCCATTTAAATAAAGTTCTTTTCTAGTGAGTAAAGAGGTTTCTCAGAGCCAGAAATCATTCAAAAGAAAGTCTGTTGACCCTATCCATGGAAAAGCCCAGAGATTTCTCTAAATACCTCTTGCCAAACTTCCTTGTACTGTGATTGGACACTTTCTGGTTTTGCATTATTGGGTGCTGAATACCTTTTGCAATTCTTTTGTTCTCTTCCCCAGGGCTTCCATTACCCTGGACTTCAACTCATTCCTAAATTAATGAATTCTTTCAGAAGATTTCTTTTAAGAGGCATGTCACAACAGAAAGGGCACTCTCCCATTCTCCTAAATCCCAAGGGTATCTCAGGTTGTGTTTGCTCTTACGTTGTACCTTCGTTTTGTTTCTTTTTGCTACAGCAGTACACTGGCTGGAGCAGAGGCAGATACGTTATCTAATACCTTTGCTGTAGACTCACATATCCTTTGCTCCCAGCCTCCAACTAATTAAATAACATCTATAACAACAGAGGAAGGCTCCAGAACGGGCACGTCTAGTGTGAACCCTGGCCAGATGTATTTCATTGCCCCCTTTCCTAAGGACAACAAGTGTGGGGAGCATTATGGGAGCCACAACTAGGAAGCAACATGAACCTTCACTATGTTCTCTTGGGGATCTGAGGGATTTATAAGGGACACACCTCATTTTGAACTTCTATGCTGAGGGAAAACACTGATTTGGAGCATGGGCTGGGCACATGCTGTTGGTGTGCTTGGAAGATGGAAGTACATGTAGGTCAAGCCACTAGGACTTATGTGAAACAAACCCACCCAGAGGAAACCTCTTCTTTCACATCAGAATGCACAAATTCTAACTCTTCATAGGTTGGGAAAGGGTTTTCTTGGTCCTTGTAGAATATTGGGATGATACAAAATAAAACCCCTATGACTTCTAAACAAAGCAAATCCAAGCCATTCTTTCTAAGACCACAGAGCTAGCCTGACCTCCAAGATGCCCAGGAAGAAGGGATGGACTGCAGCTGGGACAAAAGCAGAAAATTATCCACCAGAGTTTCTTATGGCACAAACAGATTCAGGGCATTAGAAATTTGGGGAAGGAAAAGTCTATAAAACTCTCATTAGGAGCTAAAGTTTTACTCAATTCAAATATATAGAAAAAAACACTTTGATATACTTTTACTTCAGGTTTTTTTTTGGCCTGGCTTATTTCTCAATCAGATCCATGTGTTCCAATTCCTTCCTTTTTTAGGGTTATATTCGACACTTGGGGTTCGGGGAATACAAATATTGGCATTTAATAGGGAAAACTGTCCATTATGCTGAGATGCTACCGAGTTTTTAGTGCTTGAAAATTTTATTCTTCATAAACTGTATCTAAATGCCTTGGGATACATATTCCTCTTGGACATTTTTCCTTACCCTTGCTCAGCTGACCCAGTTTTAAAATCATAAATTGCTAAAAAAAATGTTATTTTCCATACCAGTTCTTGTACTCATCCCATACTTATCCTAAGAGGTGTTAAATCTGGAACACCTGCTTCTATTTTATCTATTTATTTTCCCCTGGCTACTGAAAAAAATTTTCTTAGCACTTATAGCATCCTAGCATGACGTTCTAAATGCAAGAAGATTGTTGGATTTGAAATAAAAAAAAATGAAAGGATTCATGCTCATCCTCTATTCCCGAAGCCAAATATGTTTCCTCATTTCCTAAGATGTTTGTGATTATTTAAAAGTAAAGATAGACAACCTGAAAGCATCTCTATCTTTTTAAAATAGGTATGACTGGTTTAGTTTCTAAAATGTAGGTCAGGTTGGAAAGCAGCCTTTTCAAGGCCAGAACATAAGGCAATGGCCCCACAGCAAGTTCATTGCTCCCCCAGGTTAGATCTTCCAGTCTAGCTTCTTCCTCTCTCCTGAGAACAATCTGCCAACAACGACTTTAGGCTGCGAGATGTTTGAGAGGAACAGACACACATGAAAACAGGTAGAAAAAGTCCACAGCTCTGCAAACCTGGATGGTCCATGCTGTCATAATGATCACATCACCTTGCCAAAAATTCTTTAGGGATCCTCTGACATTTTAAAAAAAGACATATTTCCTTTGAAGGAAAGGAATGAATATTAGGTTTTCAAGCCCAACGAGAACTTTTCCCCTACATGTTCTATAACAAAAGATGGATTTTAACTCAATTGTTTAGCTTTTGACATGGCAAATTAGCATTAAGGCAAATGGGTTTCCTTTGAATTTGAGAAACAGATAGGTAAAGGTGGCTCATAATGGCACCCAAGATCAACTTTTCTGGAGGTATTCTGAATTCTGTCTACTTTGCTAAGATTTAAATAAGAACACTGTTTTAAAAGCTACTGTCAAATAATTGAAAAATATTTCAAAGTGGCTTTTGACCTTTATTTGTTTATAAGATATGCTGAGTGATATCATGTCATTTTCGTCTAGACGAAAAAATTTTTTTTCTTAATGTCAATTTTTTCTTTTGTAGGTTGAATGACTTGTTTTCAAAATATCAAAACAATTTCATGACGTGGTTAATTAACTAACGCTCCCTCTGTTGGTATTAAGTGGAAATATTAGTCTTACAACATTGCTATTTTAAAAAGAAAAATTAGCAAGAGAAAAATGGGCTTTTTCTTATTTTTCAAGTTGTTTTCTACTAACTTTTAAAACAGGTCAATTTGGACATGCAGTTCTTGGCAGGCCTTCTCTTAGAAATCATGATGGGTGATACTCAACAGTCAATTAACCATCCAAGTCTACATTAAAACGTCTAGCAAAATATTTACTGAGTTAAAGACCACAGGACCAAATCAAACTCACATATACTCCAGCTGCACTAACCATACTAACATCACCAAGAAATTATGGATAAAATATGATTTAACCAAAAGTCTAAAATACATGGGTGAAACCAATTTAGCCATTACAGAGCTGCTTCCCTTGGAAGACTTCTTTGCTATAGTTTTTGAAAATAAGTTGCTGGAAAAAAAATCAGTTAAAATACAAAATAATTTTGAAACTAAAATACTCTACTGTTTTCTCTTTTAAAATTCTAGTTTGGTGTTTCTGCTTTGTTTAAAGTTTTAATTTCCCCCTTAAGAGTGTTAAAAATATGCCCGGCAATGTAATCACCTTTGGCATGTGTTAGGTTTAAGAATTCCTGTACTTGAGTTGGAACCCCTTCAGGACACTGTCTATAAATAGAAAAATCTCTATTATAATACCTTGATCAGGACCGAGGAGAGAAATCTCAATTAGGAAGAGAGAGTGGCACCTTGGATGATGCAATGGGTAGGTGGCCTTTGAATGATGAATGCTGGCATCTGAGAAATGTTACCTTCTTTATAGCCTTTCCAAAAAGCAAGGGTTAATGAATCAGCTAGAGAATGGTCATCTTATTTCACCCTCTCAACCATGGTGGAAACAGTCGAAAGGTGATATCTGGAAGGAAGAAAGTAATTTTGGCATCGAGGCTTCCTGCTCTGTCACAGGCTTCTGCTACTGTTGCTCTCTGTAGCTGTGAAGGGTGAGGAGCTATGGCGGAGTTCTGTGAGCTCCTCCTCCAGGCTGACCACAAAGGGAAAGAACCCATTTGTCAAGACCTCTAAACTACTAGTGTTTCATCAAAGAAAGCAGTCAAGTCCATAGAAATTCTACAATCATAAGATCTCAATGAACTTCTAGAGAACCAAGAAATCTGTTTCTGAAAGTTAAAGTCCCTCCCATGAAAAAGAACAGAATTCTAAATGGATCAGTTGAAAAAAAAAAAAAAATTCAGTGGAGCAACCTAGGCTTCCTAAAAGTCAAAGAACTACATATCAAAATACAAAGCAGCAGTTCAAATTACAGCAGGGATGGGCGGGCCACAGAGGCCCTCATCAACCCAGGCAATACTTAAAATAATAAAAATTAAGAAAAATTAAAAAAAAATATGAAGAAAATATCCTTCCTCTCTTTCAAATATAACTTTAATTGCCTTTTATTCTTTCTATCTGGAAGCAGTATCGCTAACCTTAACAGTCTTGACTTAACAAAAAATATATATATGTGTGTGAAATAAAATAAAAGAGAAGGGATTGGTGGCAGTGTATGCAAAACCAAAATGGAAAAAAAAATTACTTTTAACAATCTCACTTTTTTTTGTTTTTTTTTTACACAAATACTGTTGTAAATATATTAAAAAAATCGGCATTCTATCTGGTAAACGTCACTTTTGCCCCTCTATAAAATTTTGAATTAAAAAAGCCTCAAGAACTTTTTATTGTCCCCCCCCCTTTCATTTCTCTTTCTCTTTCTCTTCCACAAGAATATATCCTGACACTTTTTTTTGTAATTTTTTTTTTGCAAAGATTGTTGGAAATAATCCTTCTCTTGTACCTATAGAAACGTAGGTGCAAACCTCTGATATCTTTGTTTTATCTGCATTCCTGCCTTTCATGAAAGTCCCTCTTGATTGAGCTGAGGCTGTGGCTCAGCGAAGACACTGAATAAATACGATAGCCACTGTTGCTTGATGCTCGTCCAAGTCTTCCTGGCTTCTGATGAACGGGGGGCCTGGAGGAGGTGGGCTGGGGTGTGTGGACAAGCAGAATCTGGGGGAGAAGCCTGCCATTCGCCTTCCCCACATCACCAAACCCACTGCCCCTTCCCACCTCCACAGCCCTTTTATGAAATCAGACAACATGGTAGGTGGAAATCAGCAGGGCCTCTCCTCTGGGTTTTCAACCAGAAGTGAGATTCCACAGTTTTAACTGGTTACTGTGAAGTCCAAGTGGCCAGAATTGTGAAAATGTCCACTGAAACACTGCAAGCGGTGTACTTAAAGACAGTCGGCCTTTTAGATTTCGTTATATATTTTTTGTAGTGCTCTTCACAAGTGAGAAAAAAAACTTTTTTTTTTTAACTTTTTTAAAAAGATTTTTTTGTAAAGAAGGGTTGTATTTAGAGGCCAGTAGCTAGAGATCCAACCAGTGGACCTCTTGAAACACTACCAGGCCTTAAGGCCACCATCCGAGGGAGGCTGGGAAAACTATTCTTCACCCGAGCCTCCGGAAATGTAATGTACCAGCAGGCAAAAAACAGTTCTTCATGTAGTACAAAATGAAACGAAACAAAAACAAAAACAAGAAAGTAAAAACGAAACCGAAACATTTCTTAAATTCTAGTGCCATAGCTTTTTTTTGTTTGTTTCTTTTTTGTTGTTTTGTTCATAAGAAAGAGAAAGATATTACTTATCCGTCAGACACGTGCATCCTCATGTGGTCGTTGAACTGCTCGATTTGGTCAAACTTTGCTGGACAGACGGAGCAGACGTAAGTGGTCCCCTCCGTGCAGGCCACCACCCCCGGGGGGCCAGCGCGGGCTCCCGGGGGTGTGCCCGCGGGAGGGGTCCCGTTGCTGGCGCTGTGCAGGGCCACGTGTCGCTCCAGGAGGGTCTTGTGGGAGAACTTCTTTTTGCAGATGTAGCACTCGTAGGACTTCTCCCCCCGGTGGAGGCGCATGTGCACGTTGAGAGAGCTCTTCTGGGTGAAGCGCTTGTTGCAGATGCTACACTGGTACGCCCTCACGCCTGTGTGTGTCACCATGTGCTTGATAAGGTAATCCTTTAAGGAGAAGGAGCGCCAACAGATGCTGCATTGGTGGGGCTTCTCGCCTGGGGATGTGGGAGGAGACAGCCAGCAGGATGGGGCGAGACAGAGCGGGGGAGGGAGGCAGAAACACAAGACAACAAAGAAACAAAAACAAAAACAAATTAAAAAAATAAGGTCTGATTCGTGAATGGGTCACTCTTGATTGGAAAGATCCAGTCCCCCCTGGCCTCTCATGCTGAGAAACCTTGCTTTAAGGTGATGCCAGGGCAGTCTAGCGTTTCTGTGTCCCTGTGTCGGAAATGGCTTCCTTGGAAAGCTACAAGATATTCCCCACTAAAAGTCTTTAAAGGCTACTTTAAGGGGGTCATTTTCCTTGTCATCACTAGGGGATTTAACTATGTGTTTACCATTAATGTTATCAAACAAATGTAAGAAATGAGAAGGAAGATCTTTGGAGACATGGGGTTCTCCACAATCTCTGGGAACTAAGTACAGTGATCACGTAGCTTGGCTCCTTGGTGACACTCTCCATTTTCAGTATTCTATCTTGTAAACCCACTCATGTCTTGATTTTAGGTCTGGCAAATACTGGGCAACATAGGAATAAGCCATTCGGAAGAGCGACACTTTCAATTTTATCTACTTTAGACAGAAATCTTCCTAAAATGTAACTTAAGAGTTAATTGGCTATTCTGTTAATTGACTGCACTGAACTGGCCTTGTCTGGTGTGGAGGGTTGAGTAGGTGGCAAACAGCACGGTGCTCTCAAATGGTCCTGTTCCAGTCCAGGCCCCAACATATGGCCCGCTACTCTGACAAATCTCCAAAAGCCTCTGATGTATACAGTCCTGTGTACCTCACTGTGCTCGTGTTGACATAAAAAAAAAAACATATGAAATCACTCTGCAGACCACCAAGTGCGGTGTGGGAATACTCGCATGGTATTCCTATTACAACACTATTCTCCCCCCCCCCCATTAAATGTTTCCATATGCTTTTTTTGACCTCTTGGGTCAATTTTAAAAATAGTTTTCTCCTTTAATCTCAGTCTGTTGGCTAAAACTCTTCTTTCTCCTCTTTCTCCTCAGTTTACTGCTTTGGTTTGCTGTTGACTTAAGAAACCAAGCCATCAAGCTTGTTAAAAGCAGTAAGGTAAGTATGAATATTGTCACTGAATGACCACACGAGGTGCTCTGCTCTAAGTAACATCCATAGGCCTGTGACATCTCTGGATAAACAGAGACTTGTTTTTTGTTGGTGCTGTTTGTTTTCAGCTCTGCTCTTGACAGGTGAGATGAACTACATTAAGGTGCTTCCATCTCCCACCTCATTTCTGATTGGCCACTTCATCAGAAAAGAAAGTCCTAGTTCTGTGGACGATTCCACAACCCAGCCTAAAGCCCCCAGGGCCTTTGAAGTTCTCTATGGTAATATTTCAACATCTGGACTATGCATCAAGGTAGGAAATCTATTTCTTAAATTTGAGTTAACTTCAATTAAAATATGCGCCTTCTGTTCCCATTTCCC